ATTTAACTAATTTCAAGGTGTAACAAAAAGTTTTGAATCTGAATATGTTAATTAAAAAGGAGGAGATGATTAGAGAAAGCGGCGTTAAGTAAAAAAAAGTTCAATGAAAAAATGGATTTCTCTAAATGTCCCCTTGAAGATGAGAACTCATAGAAGAACAATAATTTAGCTACTAAAAATGAAATGATTCAGAATGATTACATCATTGGAGGGGGAATTTAGGAGGTGATAATAACTATAGACTTAATTCCTTAAATATGACTTAAACATTGATAAAGTGTACAAATAGTATCACCATTATTTTCTTCCTAAATAAGGATCACCAATACTATAATATGATTGATTTAGACAGAATAAGATCTTACATTTTTTTATAAATGTCTTGAAATATTATGATCATCATCATCATTATGTCAGTTTAGATAGAAAAAATGTTCTACAATTTTTTGTAATATTAGGCCCATTTTAATTTCCCGCCCCTAGACCTTCCAACATACAGGGCCGCCCCTGATTATAATAACAAATACTATGTATAATTTAATAATAATGATTCCAACATGCAGTCAATATAAAGCTCCGTATGCATAATTTAATAGTTATATACTAATATATATTTTATTAGTAAGCTTTAATTATATTAAATTAAAAAATTATCAAAGAAATAAAATAAAACATATTCATTTGAAATACTGTAAATATTTCCAACATATACGTCCGTAGGGTAAAATAGCCATGCCAAGATGTAGGTTCCATTTTCTGAAAACAATGTACAACTTTTATAGCACATAGTTGTGTTGTCATAAATCAAGGATATCAACATTTATTTACAATTATAATGTTTTTTATTTTTGGAAATCATATTTATGTTTGTAAAAATGGTTATCCTACAATCTTATACTCCCTCTGTCCCAAAAACAACTTCACAGTTTGACAATCACAAAGATTAAGAAAATAAATTTGACTTTATTGTAGAGTTCACTGTTTTGCACTGTTTAAACACTGTTTGACACTGTTTGGACACTATTTGACACTATTTAACACTGTTTTGATGTAAATAATTTGCCAAATAAGAAAAGTATTGAAGTGTGAAGTTAATTTTGGGACATCCATTTAAGAAAAGTGGGAAGTTATTTTTGGGACGGAGGGAGTATTACTTAATACTGGTACAAGATGATGTGGTGCGGCTAGTAAGAATAATGAATTTATATATTTTATATTGAATTCACAAAATGAAAAATGTAATAATATTAAAATTGAACTAGATAAACTTTATCAAATTTGATATGAGACTGTTTTAGTAGAACGAATTTAAAAGTAGAGATTTTAATAATCTATGATCTTAACCAGACCATAGAGTGTTAATTAATTGTACAAATTTGGTACATGTTACACAATCATATACTTCTTCCTTCCCATAAAAGTCTTCCAATTTTTTTTTTGGGTCATCCCAAAAAATTCTCCCTACTTGTCGTTTTTGGACAACTTGTATAGCTCACATTCTTTTTACATTTTTCTTACACAAGTACAATCATATATATTTTCATTTTACTCCCACCTCTTTAAAATGCGCGCAAGTCAAGAAAAATTTTATGGGAGGAACGGAGTATTGTTTTTTTTTCATAATTTCACGTCCATCACCTTCATGTCTTTTGATGAAAACGGTTAGCTACACAAGAGGGGGGGTGAATTGTGTTTCTGTGGAACCGTGGCAGTTTTTTCGCCGAGTTCTAGTGTGGGATAAAGGGAATTGCAAAATAGTAAAGTGCACAAGAATTTAACGAGGAAAAATCCCTTGGCTCAAAGGGATTAAAAAACCTCGACCTCCCTCGGAGGAATTTTAAACAACTTCACTAAAACAAGCCTTGAAAGAGTTACAAGAGAGATCCTCCTAATCTACCCTTGAGCCTCCCCAACTCTATCCTCTCTAGGAAGAGTTTTGCATCTCTACCTTGCGAGTAGAGAGCCTCTCAGCTTTATCACAAAGCTCTTACACACACAGAACCCAACCAGAGGCAGTTGCACTTAGCTACACCTCAATATCCCAAATACAATATGATAATGAAAAGAAACTCTAACTAGAACTCCGTGTAGGCAGTTTCAGGTGCTATGGACTTGATCTTTTCTCCTGAGTGATTTTCTTTAGTAGTTTTCTCGGTCAAGCACACATCATCTCTTGATCTTTCGTCATGTATATATAGTCTTGAACAAGTCGTCCGTTAGCTCTTCTTTCCTTCCTTGAATTCTTTGATTTTGTCTTGATATTTTGAATAGCTTTCCTTCCATGATATTTCCCATATTCATGCTTAATATATAAGGCAGCCAATTTAAACAATCCAAGATATCATAATCAATCACGCATCAAGTGTACGAATCACTTAAATCACGTAAGATTGGTTAAGGAGGGGATCATCTATTGAAGGAAAGCTACGCTCAGCTCCTAGAAAGGTAAGGATGTACCAGCCATTTAAAACAATTCCCATCCATTCAAAAGTTACGTTCCATAAGGATACCAAAAATACTTTCCTTATGTTATTAAAATATATTAATGAGTGGGGTCTAATTAAGCATGGAAAGGAAGTAAGTATCTTAAAGGAAAAGTGCGTGTATCTCATATTACTCTTCATATTACTCTTCAGACTAAATTACGTACACACACATTAATCCAACAGTGTACCAAGTATATCTCGTAGGCACATGACCTAGGAATATTTCTGTATGAGATCCACCTGTATGGTTAGTCGAATAATACAATAATAATGTTCAACCGGACCCGAGGGTAGTCCTGTCTGCCGTTCCACCTGCATGGTTAGTCATCAACAAAACAATATATTCAACAAATTCCCCCTTTTTGTTGATGACAAACCATAGGTGCCTTGATTCCCTGCAAAGTTTATAATGTCTAGCAAAACAGCAAAACAGTTAGGGCACCTGATTGTTTCCCCCTTTTGGCATCAACCAAAAGGAAACAGGAAGCAACCAAAACAGTGCCATAAGTGAAGTAATAATAGCAGTCAAAGGCCAATCAGTGTGTTCCCCGCTTACAGCATAGTTTAGTGAAAAGTGTTTAGAATGAGGTGTCTAGTCCTCCTCATCATCTGAGGAGGGAACGATTGTACGACGGACTAAGTCAGGTTCCTCTAGCTTCGTCAGTACCTGCTCCTTGAACCCCTTGAATTCCTCCGCCAGACACTCCAGTTTGCCAGTGAGAGACGAGACAGATTCTGAGAGGGTAGTGAACAGGTCTTTGAGAGATTTGGCTACTGTATCAATGTGATCCTTGATTTGGGGGACAACTTGCATTAGTTCCGGGGATGGAACAGGAGTAGGCTTAGTCTTGGATGGTTTAGTTTCAGAGGTTGTGGCAAATGATTCTTTGGGAACAAGCTTGATCAACTTGGAATTTTGGACTTTTATACCAAGAGTCTGAAGGGCTTTCAAGTCCAGAGGTTTGTTTACGCACACAGGGTCAGCTTCAGAGAGGTTGATGTCCTTTGCTCGAAACATGTGAGTGAACAAAGGACCAAAGGGAATCCCAACTTTCCTCGAGGAGTGACTAATAACAAAACTAAGATGGGAGAGTATGAGACCCGGAAGATTTATGGGGATCTTATTTGCTAGCAGATACATGTAAGCTAGTTCCACTTGGGATGGAGAACTACGTCCCTCAAGTCTTGGAACAAGATTGTGATGAACGAAGTAGAATAGAAGTTTGGGGATGGGAGACAAACTAGCAACATGTAGAGGGGACCCATCAGTGGAACCGAAATAACTAAGAGCGTCATCATGAGTGATATCAGTCAAAGGCCATTCGGTTTTGTTATATGGGTCACTACAAGAAATCACACTTTTTATGACGATTTTTTGTGTGACATTGAAATTTTTGTCACATTATATTGATCAATAGTGACGAAATCTACTTTCGTCATTGTACAATGGTTTATTATGACAATTATTTCATTTGTCATTTTAGGTTTCATTTGTCGTCACTAATTGTTACAATTAATGACGATAAAATAAAATACGTCACTTTAATATTAAATTTCTTATAGTGACACCCAAATTTAGGAGGGAAACATTTTTGTGACAAATTCATAATAATTAATGACGATGTTTGTTGTCACTTAAATTTTGTTTTTGTATGACAAAATCATATTGTCATTAACTTTTCTATAAAATAATGACAATGTTATTTTGTCATTAATACTCCCCTGTTGTGATATAAACGTAAATGAAACCTAAAACCACATATGATAGTATTGTCATCAATACCAAATTTTAGGAGGGAAATATTTTCGTCACATATTCACACTAATTAATGACGATATATGTTGTCTCTTAAATTTTATTTTTTATGACAAAATCATATCGTCATTAATATTTTTATAGGGAAATATTAAAGTGAAATAAACTTATATGAAACCCAAAACGACAAATGATAACATTGTCATAAACACACAATTTTAATAGGGAAATATTTTTGTGACAAAGTCAAAATAATTAATAACGATATTTGTTATCACTTAAATTTTTATTTTTGTATGACATAATCATATTGTCATTAACATTTTATTATAAAGTAATAGAAAAAATTGTCGTTAATGCTCCCCTATTTGACACTAACGTTAATGCATCGTAGTTTTAGAGTACGTTTGGTAATACTGAAATTGACTTTATCAACTGATTGTACTGAAATTTATGAAGTTATGATTGAAGTGACAGAATTGTTAATTCTGCTGATTATGAAAAAGATTAAAATATATATATTTGTAATCAAAATTAAGTATCTATTAAAAAGGTGACAACTCCGATACCCATTTAAAAAATAGGATTCCGTACATATCATGCATTTGATTGGTCCAAATCATTATATCATTTTTAATTTAGATTTAATAATTTAACTACATCATTCTCATTGATACCATTAAAAAATTACCTATAAATCTTAATAGATTAAAAACGGCCCATACTTTACCAAACCACCAAACCAAATCAAGTCAAAGACCACCTTCTTTCTAAATTCAGTTGAGACCTAAGCTATTCTATACGGAGAACTAAGAGGAGAAGCAAGCTTTAACCGGCCGTCACCGTATCCAGCCCCGGTAAATTGCGTACTGCCAGTCTTTGATACAACGGCTGCATATATCACACACTTAAAATCGTCACGGACTTCGATACATGAACCTCAGCTGGTTGGGTCGTGTATCCGTTTTTTTTGCGACGAAGACAGCGACGTCCAAGGTAAATTCGCTGATATTTATTGCAATTGGTTTCCTTAATTTATCAAAAGTAGCATCGGATCAACTGTATCTCGTTTTAGATGGTTTAACTTTCCTGCCATGGTTCTCTAGAGTCCTTGTCATTTGAATTTAAATAAAAGCTGTAATTTTTTTAGAAATTGTAATTTAGTTATCTATGCATTAAACTAGCAAGTTCAAATCTGGATATCACAGTCAAGTGATATCTCAGTCTTCTTAACCGCTTCTTATTCGCTACGATTTGGAACCGTTTCCAAAGTTGGCTTCATAGCTCTTACTTTTCAACTTTGTACAGACCAGTTATAGTAACCATTTTGACTGCTGTCAAATCCCCAAATAGCAAAATTGGTTTGATGAGCACAGATGATGCCTTATGCATTCTAATTAGAGGGGGTTTAGAATACATGTAAGGCTGTAAGTAATAAAACTTGTGTTTCAGGATTTGAAGTTTTGCTTTGCAATACCCTGGAATCTTAATGTATAGCCTTAGCAGCACACATATTACTTCTAACATATGTAATAGAAGTTTTGATCCATGGTTTCAGGAGTCGAGACTGCAAACTTCTTCATTTTTATAAATGAGTTTTAGCTGCTTTTTTCTCTTCATTTCCAGAACCTGCTCCATCATTATAATTGTGGCCGTAGGTAATTTGGAGGCTGTAATAAAGCAACTTTTATCCATATTGACCATTGGTAGCTATTTGATATGACTGCAGAAAAGCCACAAAATTAAAGAATTTTATTTTATTTATATATATGTATATATTCTGTTAGACTTTTTGTCAAAAGTAAAGTCCCAAAAAACCCAATATTACTCGCTTAGAAACTTCCTTCGTTTATAATTTTTTTAAGAAAGTACTGACTCAATTTTCGAGAGAACCCAATATTACCAGGTTCTTATTTATTTTTAGTTAACATTTTAACAAATTTAGTAGTTCTAATGGTGTTTAGAAACTTTTATTTATTTTTATAAACCATAATGTTGTTCACTTTTATGTGTGGTTGTTGAATTTTTCCTACACAGATTTCAGTTGCATTAATGAAAAATGTGTAAATTTTTAGAATGCACAATATGCAAGTTTTTTGGTTTAATATGTGTGTGTATTAGCAACTAATATGCTTTTTTCAAGCTTTATTAACCAGTTTTCCACCATGAGATTGGTAATAAAGTTACTGGAAATAGAAATTAGTCAAGTTGGTAATAAAGTTACTGGAAATAGAAATTAGTCAATATAGGACTAAACATACACAAAGTTCAAAAATAAGACTAAGTATGTTTATTCCCAAATAGGACTGTGTAGTCCTAAAAAAATAAGTTGATTAAAATAGAAGTGATTGAGTCCTATTTTGGGACTAAAATAAAGAGAGTCTTATTTATGAATTTAATGTTTGTTTTAGTTTTATTTAGGGGATTTTCTCTACTGATAAAGTGTTGTTTATGCATCAATACTAGTTGCGGCAGTTTGAAACAACTAAATCTTGTTTACCGGAGTATGTATTTTGTACAACTTCTTGATTATAAGTTTCTCAAACGTCTATTTATATGCTTTTGACTTATTCTTTTTATAAGCGTTGCTTTTTGTGAGAAAGCAATTCTTTGCCTAGGGCTTTCACTTTTAATGAAAGTCCACCGTTATTGTTTTTATTCTCTGTTCATTTTAAATAAGTTTTCCTATAAAGAACCAGTAAATCAAGAATTGGACTATGTTGTGATAACCAAAGTATAAAAAGCGCGTGAATAGAACCTATGGGAAAATGACTTCTCGATTTAGTATTAAACTTAAACAATTCCATCCGCAAGCACCTCAAATAGAGGTGGCCGGATGACGCTCTGGTTAGGAAATATATACATATACATATATACATATATGTATGCTATATATATATATATATATATATATATATATATATAGGTTCTTTAATAAACTACCGACTCAATTTTCCAGAGAGAATCCAATACTACTACGTTCTTATGAATTTTCAGTTAACATTTTAACAAATTAATGGTGTTCAGAAACATGTTTTTTTTTTATATATAAACAATAATGTTGCTCACTGTATCGTTTAGTCAGAGTATTTTTTTAATTCATAGTGTATGTATAGTAGTTTCTTTTGTTTGTACTCATTTAATTTTAACATATTCTTATATATTATGTAGGGCATAAAATGGATAAGAGTTGGATGCATGCAGTTAAGTGGTCTGGTGCTTATATGGACGGGGTAAACAATTTTATGAAATTTGTTGAAACCAATAATGGTGGAGAGGTAAACATTAGATGCCCTTGTAGAGACTGTTTGAACCTGAAAATTCAAGATAAAAAAACAGTTAAAAATCATCTTTTATCGCGTGGAATAGATCCTGGCTACATTACATGGTTTTATCATGGTGAAGCATCTAGTTCGCGAACTTTTAATAGGGAAGATGGAATAGACATTGAATTTGAAAAAAGTGATGAAGAATATGGGGATGGTATTCATGAAATGTTGTTTGACCTTGGCCAACAATATAATCAACATGACAGTGATAATATGTTTTTTGAAAATGACATTAATAATGGCGGTCTTCCGATATATCTAGAGGCATTGGTAAGTAATGCTCAAACAGAACTATATCCAGGTTGTAAGAAAATGTCAAGGTTATCTTTTCTCATACAGTTGCTACACACTAAAGTGTACAATAAGTTGAGTGATAAAGCAATGGATATGATGTTGAAATTGATGAAGTCATCTTTCCCTATTGGTGAGACATTTCCAAGTTCTTACTATGAAGCCAGAAAAATGTTGCGGGACTTGGGGTTGGGATATGAATGTATTCATGCTTGTAAGTACGATTGTGTTCTGTTTTGGAAGGAAAACAAATGTTTGGATAGCTGCCCAACTTGTGGAACCTCTAGATGGAAAACTGATGATGGTAACGGGAAGAAGATACCACATAAAATTCTAAGGTACTTTCCTTTAACACCTAGGCTTCAACGCCTTTTCATGTCTCAAAAAACGCGTGAAAAGATGGTCTGGCATAAAGAAAAACGCATTGATGATGATTATATGAGACATCCTGCTGATTCTGCAGCATGGAAAGATTTTGATAATGAGTTTCCTCGGTTTGCAAGTGATCCTAGAAATGTTAGACTTGCTTTAGCTGCAGATGGTTTCAATCCATTTGGAAACTTAAGCACAACTTATAGCATGTGGCCGGTAATTTTAACCCCATTGAATCTACCCCCATGGGATTGCATGAAAGAACCATTCTTGATGTTGTCTTTGCTTATTCCGGGTCCTAATTCACCTGGAAAGGATATTGATGTCTACTTACAGCCACTCATTGAAGAGTTAAAAGGGTTGTGGATTGACGGGGCTGAAACATTTGATGTTTCTACCAGAAAGAACTTTCAAATGCACGCTTCTATTTTGTGGACTATTAATGATTTTCCTGCATACGGGGATTTGTCGGGATGGAGTACTAAGGGGTACATGGCTTGTCCACTGTGTAATGAACGAACATATTCTCAAAGATTACGAAGCAAGCTATGTTACATGGGGCACCGTCGCTATTTACCGAAAGATCATGCATGGAGAAGAAGCAAGAAGTTTAATGGTAAAAGAGAACACAGTGAGGCACCTACAGAATTGAGTGGGGAGGATGTTATGATGCAGTTAGAGAGATTAACACATTTGACACCAGGAAAGCATGATAGTAGGAAGAGAAAGCGTGCGTCTCATGAATTGAATTGGACTAAACGTAGCATCTTTTTTAATTTGCCTTATTGGAGCAAGATAAAATTAAGGCATAATTTAGATGTAATGCATATAGAGAAGAACATTTGTGAGAGTATATTGGGGACCTTGATGAATATAGATCGTAAAACAAAAGATACTGACAAGTCAAGGAAAGACCTGGAGGATATGAACATTCGCAAGGAATTGCACTTTACTCCGATGAGTGATGGAAAATATAAGAAGCCACATGCATGTTATGTAATGACAAAAAAAGAAAGACATGATTTTTGTGAGTTCCTAAAATCTGTTAAATTTCCAGATGGATATGCTTCTAATATCTCTCGATGCATCAAGTTATGTGATGATAAAATATCAGGAATGAAAAGTCACGATTGTCATGTACTGTTGCAGCGCTTACTTCCCGTAGGTATTCGTGGATCGTTGAAAAAGGAACTGAGTAATGTGTTGGCAGAGCTAGGTTACTTTTTTCAATGCTTGTGTTGTAAGAAGATGAAGAGGTCTGATTTGGAAAAGATGAGAGAAGATATTTGTTTGATTTTGTGTAAGCTTGAAATGATATATCCTCCTTCCTTTTTTGACGTCATGGTTCATTTGTGTATTCATTTACCGAATGAGGCATTATATGGTGGACCTGTTCACTTTAGATGGATGTACCCAATTGAAAGGTAATTAAAAGTTGTGTCCTTATTTATTTAGTTGCAAGATATTGATATTTACTAACATTATTGAGCACCAGCCTCTTCATATTTTTATGACCCTGATTATTTTATGCCATGTATATTTGCTTGTCTACAAATTCTTATTAAATATAAGGTTGATTTAAAAAAGCGAAAGGATTCTATTTTGTATCTTTTATGACTAAATTTAGCAGTTAGATTTGCACCAGAGAATGTAAATTTTACCTGACAACATTACATAATTTTTTATTGTCTTTCTTTCGATACTATAGTATGTGTCTCTATGATTATGTATGTGTGATTAGCCTGGTTAGAGTTTGTATTGTGATTGGTTTACTTTTGAATCCTTAGGTGTTCCACTGTCTCAAACACAAATGGTGAGAGTACTAGAGTATAGTATAAACAATTGATAAGCTTTTATATCCATGTGCACCAGCGTCTTCATATTTTTATGAAGAGGTTGTATTCTGGTAACATGCCCTCAGATTTGCAGATGCATTTTGAAATCATTGAGCGTCTGGATGTTAGCTGAGTTTATTCCCATGTTGCAATTTTATAATGCAAGACAAGACGTATATAGGACAAGATTATTTTATGCGTAGTACTTTATAATTTTACAGTGTCACATGTTTAGTGAGGTGCTAGACGACAATGATGGAGTGGCAGTAGGGTGGATTTGGGCTAGTTCCTGTCTAATTAGAGTTCTGGTCAGACGGGTTGCCCTCACCGACCCACTGACCCCTAGAGCGAAGATTGTAATTGGGCTGGAACTGGTAGGTTGTCGAGTGGAACCAATCATGAGTTTGACAAGTTCCAGATCCATTTTCTAGTTCCAGTCTTATTAAAGAAACCTCGTTGGGATAGTTTACCCTTCTAATCGGCAATCAGAAGGGTCTACCCAATAGTGGGAAGTGGAAGACAATAGTAAGATATCTTGGATGTCATAGCTCGTTTGATGGTGATGTGGGTATTTTGAATTCCATTTACTTATATAATGTGTCTGATATTCTGATATTTGTCATGGGGTATAAGTGTTTCTTCTAACTCTCTGTTACATTTATTATTTTAGCACTATATATTTGCTTGTCTACACACTCTTATATTTGAAGCGGTGATTATTTGCAGATTCCTATGTGGATTAAAGCAAAGTGTCCGAAACAGAGCTCATCCAGAGGGTTCAGTCGCAGAAGCCTATATTGCAAAAGAGAGTCTAACTTTTTGCTCGATGTACTTGCACGGTCTAGAAACTAGATTTAATCGAGAAGACCGAAATAATGATGTAGCATTTGAGGATAGTCTATCAATATTCTCACAAAAATGTCGTCCTTTTGGAGCAGCAAGTTATGTAGAATTATCAGAGGATGAGCTCAATGAGATCCAATGGTTTGTCTTCCAAAACTGTGAGGAGATTGAGCCATATTTTGAGTGAGTATATTTTATGTATGGAAATTCATAACAACATTTTAGTTTCTATTTTATTTTTTTATATGACTAAATTTAACATTAAATATTACAGAATGCATAAGGAAGAGCTTATCTTGGGTGAGTGTGAAAACGTTGCTAAAGAGCACAAGGATAAATTTCATGCATGGTTCAAAAAGCACGTAAGTTATTTGCATATATACATGAAATTTTCAAAATGTTTACATTTATATCTCTAACTGATTGTTTACTATATTTTGTTAGATGAGTGCTTTGTATAAACAAGACTCGTCACAAGCAAATGAGTCTCTATATTCACTTGCATGTGCACCCCATAGGTGCGTAAGAAAGTACCCAGGATGCATTGTAAATGGTGTAAGATTTTTAATTAAAGACCGTGATAGTCATCGCAAGACTCAAAATAGCGGAGTTGTTGTGGAGGGGAACCATGGTGAAGAGATTATAGATTTTTATGGGGTCTTAACTGAAATAATTCAGCTAAATTATGTGAAAGAAAGACATGTTACTATATTCAAATGTAAATGGTTTGATCTTGGGAGAAGAAAAGCTGGGATACGAAAGGAGGGGAATATTACTAGTATTAGAATAACTGGTAACTGGTATGAAAATGATTCCTACATACTAGCTGATCAAGCAAGACAAGTTTTCTACATCAATGATCCTAAATTAGGAGCGGACTGGAGAGTGGTACAATTGTTCCAACACAGGCACATATATGATGTACCAGAGAAGCAATATGAAGAAAAAGGTGATGATGATGTTCCGATAATGGAAGATGAAGTGTATCAAGAGAATGAAATTGGTGAATCATTTGAAGTTACTGTTGATGATATACAATCCCTGCATAGAGAGGACATAGATCCTGAAGAAATTGAAGAGATATTAATTTCAAAACAATCAGAAGATCATCAAGCTTCAAATATTGAGGAGGACCAAGAAGATGAAATAGATGACACTTTGATTGATTATGTTAGTAGTGAAGGCAGCATTGAGGCTACTGGTTCTGAATCTGAAAGTGATGACTATTAATTTGGAAATATAACAACCCCATAGCAGTTGCTAATATTACAGTTTACACATTGTAAGATTTTTTATATACTTTATTACTTATGTGTTGTTTTACATTATTCATTGTTTTTTGTATAGATTTGATTGCATTGTTCTTATTTATCTTATAATTAATCTTTTGTTTTTTTTGCAGAGATGTAGACTAACTTCACTTGATATGTTTGGTATTTCTTCATAACAATTCAGTTGTGGTATGTCTTTTGCTATATCTTATCTATATTATATGTGATTAAAACAATCATGAGGTTGTTATGTGTGTGTCCATTAGTTATCTAAATGTTGGTTCTATTGATTAATAAATTTCTTTTGTTTTTAGTTAAAGAATGAAAATTTATTATAGCTTGTCTAATCATAAATGGGTATGAGACATTAGTAAATTGGAGCATAGTTGTGATGGTAATGCTTAATTTTTTTTGAATTCGAGATGCACCTTGTACAAATCTCTTACAGAGGAAGTGAGCATTTGAGGATGGCCTCTCCAAACTGCTGGATTGCTTAGTGCAGGATAATGTTCGAGATCATTTACCCTCTTATCAGGGAGATTTACAGAGTGGAAGAATGGAGAGTTGGGATATTCGATTCGAAGAGTTAACAGTTCATGGACGCAAGGAAGATGGAGCTCTTCAGCAGTTCAACTGGATCCAAAATCTTTTACCTTCTTGCATTCCTTTTTACTAAATATGCTACTGCTTTTTGTTTAGTGCTTCAAGCTGAACATATAGTTCTCTCTGGTCTGCTACTACTATTTTGGAAGGCATTAACTGTATATATCTGCAGTGTAGGAATATATGCTATATAGACTTTTATGATTTTATCTTGAGAATAATTTTGAATTGAAAAAAAAATAGTCTCCCGACAGTAAACATATTGTTTAGAGATTCTTATGATTACGAATTTACGATGCTTCTCTTATATCAAGTTGATACATTGAATGCAGTTCAGGGGTAGAATATGGATGTTGTATGTGAAAAATTGTAGCTTTGTTATGTTAGAGTTTTTCCACATGGGTAGAATATGGATGTTGTATACTTGTATGTGAAAATTGTCGCTTTGTTATGTTTGAGTTTTTACCACCCTTGCAATCGCTAACCACTGACATGTAAGGCTGGACTCGGGCCGGTTCGGGCCCGGTTCGGGCCTGGGCCCGGCCGGGAAAGGGGAGGCCCGAGCCCGAACCGCCGGTGGCCAGTTCCGGTTCCGGTCCCGGGCCAAACCGGGCCGGGCCGGGCTGGGCCGCACCGGCCCAATAATTTTTTTTTTTTTTTTGTTCTCCTATTTAATCCCCTACCCCTCCCCCTCAACCCCAAACCATCCCAAACCACCTCAAATGGCCCAACATACCTAATCCAACCTAAAACTTAAAAAAAATTCAAAAAAAAAAAAATTAAAATCCGGCCCGGACCGGGCCCGAACCGGCCGGGCCGGTTCACCAAATGGAGGGCCCGGGCCCGGAACCGGTATCCACCGGGCCGGTTCGACCCGAACCGCCGGTGGACCGGGCCACCGGGCCGGGCCGGTTCACACAGTAACCGGGCCGGGCCGGTTCCGGTTCGGGCCGCCCGGCCCGAGTCCAGCACTACTGACATGTAAAAAATTAATTTGTTTGACACATTGCAACACATATGTTAACATTTTTTCGAAAGAATCATAAATATATAGTAAAGTTTTGAAATAATATTTTATACTAATAATATTAAATTGTGATATACAAACAATAAAAGGAAAAATTGGACAGGTACACTTTTAAGTTTTTTTATTTTTTAATTTCGAATTTAGAATTTATTTTTGGTGTTTCTTGATTTTTTTTACTAATTTAAAGTCAATAAGGGTATATTTGCTCCTTTATAAGAACATGAGGGCTATTTTTCCACCTTTTAAAAAAGTTCAGGGGTATATATATGCAAATATGCAATTCCACATGTACTTCAGGGAATATTTGTTCCGATAAATATAACAGTGGTATATTTGTACATATATTTCATTATACAATTCTACAAATGTACCTTCTTAGGTTTCAATATGTCGATCTTATAGATAATCATTCAAATTAATTTCACATTCAACAGTAATTTGATCGAATTCTCATTTAATAATGACAAATCATTTCAATTATCGTCCGATGTACTCTCAGTGCTCTGGATTTTTTTAAAATCTGGGTACACTATCGAAATATCTTTTCATACTAATCGTAAAATATTGAAAATGGTTATTCATAAATATCATACATCTAATAATTATATCTTAACACTCAAAGAAATTTTAATAATTAATCAAAAAGCCATTTAGAAAGGTTGAGTCAACTATTTGGGAAGGTATTTGAAAACAATTCAGAGTTTATATCTATAAGTTATCTTTCAATAATATAAAAGGAAAAATATCTTATTATAAGATATTTTAAATATCTTATTATAAGATATTTTTCCTTGAATGTTACTAAAAGACAATTTATGAACAAAAATATTGCTATAGTTACTATGTATAGTTACTATATTAGTCACTATACTATAAAAAATCATATTTCTGTCTAATACCTTTATTTGATCATACATTTCTCATTATTTCAAATAATTAATAATTCCTCCCTTCTCCAATACTTGCCCCTATAACTAATGTGATCAAAGAGGTTCTTAGATACAGACCAGACCAAGTTTGGGCAACTATAAAATACACATAGATCATACATTAATCAGACTAGACCAGACCAGACCAGATCGATTCAGACCACACCATGCTTAAGTAGATCAGACTAAACCAAATCAGACCAGCCACACTACCAAATTAATTACCGTTCAAAAGAAAACATCCTAAGAGCATCTCCAACGGTTAGCAAATTACCTTCGTAGCTTGATTAGCCACATAAGCATTTGTAGCAAAATTAAAATTTACACCAATGGTTAGCTTTGTCATCTTCCTTTTCATTTATTATTAATAATGTTATATTTAGTAATTTATTTGCTCAAGTTAGTAGTTCATTTTGGCTAATTAGCTTTCTCAAGCAAAAGGTTAAGCAATGCTCCAACGATAAGCTATTAGCTTTAAAATTGCAAGCAAGTCCTCAAGAGGGAGATGCTCTTAATCAATCCAAACTTTAATGAATTAAATCAGACCAATTCAAATACGAGTAAAAAAAATTAGTGTTATGGAAACTTTGAAAGCATTGGAGAAAATGTGAATTTTTTAAAACATAAACACTCGCCACTATCTTAAAGTCACAAGTGGGTTCATCTGCTCCATTTGTCCGTAACTTCCAGGTTAGAACCGCCTCTTTGCTGCCATTTTATCTTCTACTTCATAGGCTCATAACATATTCTTCTATTCAATATTTTTGGAGATCTACACGCCTGGTCGTTCTATCGTACTTTCGATCAACGTTTTAGTCATCTAAATCATAGTCTAGCCCTATTGGACGAGTTTGGGGAATATGAAGATGAGCTTGAACGAGTGTAATAAAAAATGTCTACTGTGGAATTCACTTTCCATTTGCAACGACATAAGATTGGGAGCAACAATTGTGGTTAGATCTTCATCCGTATCTCAATTGTTTTTAGTGCTTCGGATTTAAATAGTTTAGTTTTGATATGTGGATTGTTGTATTAAATTGGGGTTTACATAAGTTGTTACAAATTTTAAATAAGAAGTTCCGTGATTTGTTTTGGGCTCTGGAATTCCTTAAACTTTTTTAAAGGAATTCCCTGAACTTTTTTTTTTGAACAAGGAATTCCCTGAACTTAAAAATAAGAAAAGTAATAAGAAAATATAATTACCTAAATATTCAGCATAACTTAAGAGTTTGCCGGTGATTTTTAGCGGCGCCAAATTAAAATTTCATTTACGCGGAAAAACTATTTTAAAATTGTATTTTAATATAACTAGGTTAAAATGTATTCCCGCTCATCTATTTCAATTTATATAGCTATACCTAGTATATACCCGCCGGCCACTCTATACCTTTTACGGTAAACTTTTCGATCTCCCTGTCTTCTTCAATATTGTGAAAACAGGTATGAATGTTAATATTTGTTCTAGATTTCTTCCTGTGAGAGTTATTTCATTATTGATAATTTGCTTTCACTAATCAATCAAGGCGTATATAAGCGGCCAGGGATGTATATATAATTATTATTATTGTTATAATTGCCTCGTGACTTTGTTTGGTTGCATATTTACTTACTACTGATGTTATATACTTCTGTGGTAACCCTAAAAGTTATTGGTTCAATTGCTTATAGATTGACACTTTTCTTGGAGAAAAAGCTAAAGAGTTCATAATTTAGTGGTTAAATTGTCAGAAATTTTAAATCTGAATATAATAGAAGATTTAACGTTTTGGCAAAAGGGGTTGAATCCCTTTAACTAAAGAGTTCAATTGCTTATAATACAATGTTGACCAGGTTTGCTATTAGCAGCCCTTTAATGGTTTGAGAATTCAACACTAAGGTTGGTCTTTAATGTTTATTTCTTTGTCATAATTGTGCTTACCAATCAACGTATATTGAACCTATTGTAGCATCTATCTGTCAAATCTATGCACCTTCATGTTTTTGTTGTTTAAAACTATTTAAATCTTTCTGCTTTAGTGTGTCTGATGATGTTTAAATGCATGATATATTTCCAAAGGGTATGCTGAGGGGTTTTGATTTGGTACCCCTCTGTTACCTTTTCTATTCCTGTGAACAAAATTATTTTTTGAGTAAGAATATACACACTCACCTTGAACGAATGATGTGATTTCGTTTTGTTTTGTGATTTTTTTATCAGTGATCTTTGAACCTTCCTAATTTTATGAAGTTTTAGAGTCATTTTCATTGATTGTTTTTACTTATTGATCATTCATATACAGTTAGAGGAATGGCACCAGGTAGTAAGGAAAAGGTTCAAATGAAAAGTCAGTCTCAACCAAGTATTCGACAGCATGCATCCAAGAAAGCTTCACAGAAGTACGTAACTCTCGGGGGAATTCGGGGAGTTCTACAAAATTCAAAAACACCTGTTAGGGGAGAAGTTGTTGATACAAGAAAGAGGATATTTGCACAAAATATGTCCTCTAAAAGATGTGCAACAACTACAACACAACATAGTCCTGAAAGCATCGAAGCAGATGCAAGTCCAATTCATGAAAATTCAGTCAGTGGTAGTCCTCATCGTGCATCACCAGAAAGGACTGTTGAAGAAGGTATGTATCTCGGTTTTGAAACATAATATGTGCTTGTGTTTAAATTGTGATTTCTAACTCTTGTGAATAAAAAACATGTTGTCTGCCCATAGCTTCTCGTCCTAAGAAAAGAGGTCGTGGTCAAACGATGGGCAAAGGAATTATGAGGGCATTTGCAGCGTCTAAGACAAAAATGAAGGTAACCGTGGATCCATATATCGGAAGACCAAAAGATGGAGAAGAATCGGCAAAGCTTTCAAGTCAAATCGGTATAATTACTCGTGATGTACTTCCTGTGCCAAGAAGGTGGAAAGAAGTAGATGAGGAGAATGGGCTGGAACCTGGATTTGATCATATACAGGTATGGTTATAAAAAAAAGTAACTTTACATTTTCTGTGATCTGAAATATGCTCCCAAAACTATGCAGATGCATATGGATGTTAATTTTGCTGATCCTGGTGTGAAAGAAAGCTTAATTGGAAGACTGAAAAGCAGTTCTCGGCAAAAACGTTACCAGCTACACATGCATTACAAACAATTTCAAACTTTGGAAGAAGCTAAAGAAAAGAAGCCTCCAACTTTCCTGAGCCAAGAAAATTGGGAATTACTGTGTGATCATTTTGCATCTCCCGAGTTCCAGGTGATAAACTAAATTCAAACATTTCATACAAATGTCTTATTTGTATTCCACTTTTAAATGGCCTTGATCTATTTACTGTCTCTGGCCGTGCAGAAATCAAGTATTACGAACACAGAAAACAGGAAGTTGGTGCGAGCTCCACACATTACAGGCAGAAAACCTTTCACTGTTCGACTACATGAAATAGTGAGTCTATTTTTTTAATAACTAGAAACTAAGTAGTATTGAATTCAGTAAGTGAATTTTGATTGCAATCTAATGTTTTGAGGTTTGAATTTGGATTTATTTGAGATTATATGAAGAGTGTAAAGTGTTTGTTTCACTTAGCGTAATCTTTAGCAGCATGAACAACCACTATATTCGCCTCATTGTTAATCCTTAGCATCTTCATTGTTAATCTTATGCATCTGGTCCTCACTTCCAAACATGGTTACTAATTCAACAAAAATTCATGTTTTATTAAGTAATAATTTCAATTTAGAACTATTATCGTCACTAACTCGTTATATTATATATGTAATACACCGGTGTCATCATGTATGTGGACAGTATTCTAAGATACTGGACACAGGGTAAAAACTGTCAGCTTCTCCCAGAAGCATTAACAATTTTGATTTTACAACTAATGTCTATTTTCACTAAATTATGTTTTGTTTATTTTCAAGTTTTGGTTAAATATACAATGAATGATGTGATCTTTAGCAGTTGGAGTTCCTGTGTCCAAAGCATGAGCTTTAGGCTTTTAAAATTGAACTTGACAACCTTTTGCTTCCTCTATATGCCTAACTTGGTGAAATGCTTGATCAATTATTTAAAACTTCAAATCATTTCTGTGGGTTTAATGTTTTCATTGGTAATTTTGATTCATTACATTCAAACTTTGTTATCTTTTGTGTCCTTGGATTGGTATGGTATTGTTCAAGATTCTCCATGCTAATTAGCAGTGTTGTAGAATAATAGAGTTTGGTGCAGCCACGGTAGTCAAAAGCGCGCGCATCACCGCTTAAGCGCACAAGGCGTAGCGAGCTTCACCCTCATCGCCTTAGAATCGTAGAAGCGCGGCTTTCTGGCTCAGGCGCAGCATAAGCGTATAAGCGCAGGAAGCGCTGAAGCCCTATGAGGCTCACGCTTTAGTCGCCTGAGACGGAAAAGGCTTACAACCTTTTTTTGGTTTAAAACTTTGACAAGTAATTAACCCATATCTTTAATAGCAGTCAGCCAAAAAAATAGGGTAAAGCCAGCTAAACCTACATAAAACTAAGAGTGAAGTACATAAAAGGTAAAACTTGCGCAAGCCACTTCAGCTATCACCGCTAGCCATCCCCGCTCTTCACTCTCCTGGCTATCCTCACTCGACACTCAGCTCTTCACCAGTCAGTTCTTTCAGCTTCCTAGTTCTTTCAGCTTCCTTCATCATCTGAAGCATACTCAGCTCTACCTCGCAGCACTAAACAAGGTATGTCTTCTTTTTCATGCAGTCCTCTTTATCCAAATACTCATATTACAGTATGTTAATGTTTATTAATTATTATAGTGTAAATGTGTAATAAAGTAATAATACTACGAAGTACGAGTAGTATATAGTATCTATATAATACTCAGTACTTAAATATATGTACTCTGCTTTGTGATTCTTTAGTTTATTAGTATGTATATAATACTCATAGTCTCATAGTACCCAGCTTTGTGATTTTTTAGTATATTAGTATGTATATGATACTCATAGGAATCTTCGTTTTGATTTTATAGTATATTAGTATGTATATAATACTCATAGTACCCTGCTTTGTGATTTTTTAGTATATTAGTATGTATATAATACTCATACTACTATGCTTTGTGATTTTTTTAGTATACGTTCTTTGCTTTGTGGTTTTCTAAACAATAAAGATATTATTCTGTATCTTTCTAGCATCTTAAGTTCTTAATTTACAATGTTTAATTTGATTTAGTTTGACTAGAAATATAAATTCTGAATCTTTTATTATTATTTAGTTTTACTGGAAATATAGTTGTTAGTTTTTTAATTGCAAACAACTTTATTATGTTCTAAACAGATTTGTAAAAATCTGAATTTAAAAAATGATAATATGCATCATGACTGTTAACCAATGGCTATGCCTTTATATTTATATTATATGGTAGCTTTGAGAATCAGATACATAATAAGGTGGTTGCTATGATTTTATTTTGGTTTTGATGGACATATGAGCATAACTATGGAAACATAATTTTCATAGTCAAAACTAGCTAGTTACATCACAGCCCTACTTTTGGAGATCAGATCTACTGATGTGCTTAATTATCAGATACATAATAAGGTGGTTGCTATTTTTTTTTTTGCTCAAAGGTAAATCAGTTAGGTTCAGAATTTATCAGATCAACTGAGTAATAGAATTTTATGATTTTGTTTTTGATGACTTCGCTTTCAGTTGTGGTTTGTTTGCAACTGTGTTTAATAAAGATAACAATCTGTTTGACCGAACCATGTTAACTAATGTCCGAGTAGAATATGTTTTTCAACATGACACAAAAATTTGAAAACTAAAAGGCTATGTTAAACACACAACCAACTTTGTGTTTTGCCATTATTAAGCTGCCATATTTGACTGTTTGGCACATTGGCCCATAAATATATGTTTATTTATGGTTTCCAGTGTATTAACTATTAACTAATTCCAGTTCTGTGCTTTTCTGCTTTTCTAGGATATGGAAGGTGAAACAAGTTCTGTGGGTGGTGCTGAAAGTGACAACTCTACAAAAAAATGACCCAGCTTGGAACCACAACTACTTGGTTAAGCCATGAATTCTGAATTTGAATCATGACTTTATTTTGGTGCTAAAAGGCCCCTAGCGCTTCAAGTGTGCCTTACGACTTTGACTACCTTGGGTGCAACATAAGTTTTTATACCAAAAATGTTTGTTGTTAGTTCATAACTCTTAATTTATGCTAATCAATATGCCTTATAGTCTCTGCAGGAATTAAATGGTGATTCTTGTGATAGGATTGAACTCTATAAACGAACTCATTTTTCAGAGAAAAAAGGTTGGTCATCTGAAGTTGCAGAAGAAAATTGGGTATGTTTCTAGATCTTCTTCTTATCTTATTTTACCATACATTATTTATTTTAGACAAACTAACATTAACTTCTTAAATTAATGTGTTCAACCCAGGAAATGATGAAAAAGAAACAACAACAGTACGAAGAAGAAGGAATTGAAAAGAGCACAGATGAGATAGTTCTTGAGGTTCTTGGCCATGGGTCCGGCTACATCAAAGGTCTTGGTTACGGTCCTAAACCTACAAGTAGACGCAACAACCTTAATTCTTTTGCGACCGAACAACTCCAGAAAGAACTTCATGAAACACAAGAAAAATTACACAGTTCTGAAGCACAAGTTGGAGAGCTTAAGACTCAACTACAAGATACTGATAAAGAAGTGTTCGATTTGAGAAATCAATTAGCTCAACAGGCTTCAAACGTAGCTCAACAAGCTTCAAAAGTGGAAAAACTCATGGCATTTATGGCTACTCAGGGAATGACAGTCTAATCACTGTTTTTGGATTCACAACCAAGTTCTCTTTTTAGTTTTCTGTTTAGGTTTCAATTTTTTAAGTTAGCTATCTCATAGTTTCCTGTTTAGGTTTTGACGTTTTGTAGTTAGATTAATAAGATATTTATAGTTTAAGTGTTTTGCACAATTTAGTTCTTCTGGATATGAGAATGAGTTTCAATGGGCAGCTTGTTACTAATATTTATCAATTTTAAATGTTCATTAATACATGTCGTACATTTTAAATGTTTTCATATTTATATGATACACCTACCTATTGTGACAATGTGCACATAATATAAAAGTTGAATATGACAATTAACTATTTCGTCACTAAAATTTTATAATTCGTGACAACATTGAAATATTCAATCGTCTTATCAATTAATTAGTTTATCGTCACTAATGATTTCATTAAATGACAATGACATATTCGTCATCTAAAGGTAGTCTATTGTGACACTTAATTTGTCACAATAATATTTTTGAATAATGACAAATATTTATCATTGTCACTATGGAAGCCTTTTTGTGATGAATAATATTGTCACAAAATGTATTACTTTATTGACAGTTAAATTTTCGTCATTGTTTCTGTTTTATTCATGACACTTTATGTCGTCGTATTATACCTTTTTCGTGACGAAATAATTGTCATTAAATAAATCTATATAATGACGAATTTTTACAAAAATGACAACATAAGTAACTTATTAGTGACAAATTTATTGTCATCATAATCTGTTCATTTATGGAGCATCGTGTGAACTGTCATTATAAGTTACGTTTTAATGACAAATTAAGATTTTGTCATTTATTGTGTTTAGATAATGTGACGAAAATTATACTTTGATGACAAAAAAATTGGTACAAACGTGACATATTTGACGTCACAAAAAATGTCCACTAATGATGACAAAGTGCTAACGCGTCACTAAAACTAAACATAAAATGACGAATTAAAAAATTGTCATTTATACCTTATGTGACGAAGTTATCATGACGATCGCTGTGACGCTCAAATTTTGTCATATAATAGTTTTAGTGACAAATATTAATGTTTATGTGACAAATATTTCCGTCCTAAAATGTCAAATTTCTTGTAGTGGGTGTATCCCAGAACAAGGAACATTCCATAATGTACTCAAATCAGATGTATCAAACAACAGCTTTACACCATTGATTCTAGAGACCATGACATTGTCTTGGATAATCAAATTTGCTAAAAGGTCAGCCGTGGGTTCAGGATACACAGGAAGACAAGTTTTAGATTCGAACAGGTTGTTCCATTTTTGGAAAGAAATTAGGTCGATGAAATCAGTGGATAGTTTGGAGAAAGCTTCAAAGGGTATGGTTAATACCTTGATGTGCTTCCTTGTGAGGAAGTCCGCCTTGAATTTTGCCGCTTCTGCCTCCGCCACCTTTCCCAATCTGGGGTACACCTTGACTGGCCTATCGGGGGGGATGATTCCCATGGCGATTGCTTTGGTGCGCGGGACCTTTCGTGGGAGAACCTTCCCGTCTCTAGTTAGAGGTTTTCGTTTAGCTTTGAGCAGTGTGGAGGGAGTAGGTGGTGGAGATGATTTTGCGTCCGACTCGTGTTCCCCCTGAGATGAAGCAGGGGAGGGGGAACCGTGTGGCATGTTGACTTCTTGGCTTTCTGTGGCCATTGCGGTGGAGGATGATGAGGGTTCGAGGTCAATCTGAGCCGGAGTGGTGGAGGATGGAGGCTTTCGAGTTGTTCGGTTTGAGCGACGAAGTGGAGTAGCACACTTCTTAATTTTAACCATGTTGGTTAGATATGGAAGGAAAGCCTTAAGTAATTTAAAATAGGAAGGAGGAGAGACTGGAAAGTGGGCGTCCAAATGGTTTTGGGAGAAGCGAAAGATCTGGAGGCAGATTTTCTTGGAAAGGGACAATCATGATTATTAACCTTCCTTATTTAAATCATTCGGTCCTAACAATTTTCAAAATTTGAATATGATCTATATAAGGCCATAATTTTTAAGAATATTCGCACAATAATTAAAAATATTCTCACAAAAGGATATGTATGCATAAAAAGAATAAGCCGGTTTTAGGAGTTAATTAAACCAAGTTCGAGTCGAATAATTTCAAACCTTTCTCTTCCCAGGGGCTTTGTAAAAATATCTGCAATTTGCTTGTCAGTATTGCAATGTTCCATTCTGATTAGCCCTTTTTCCACGCAATCTCTTAGGAAGTGATGTCGAATATGGATATGTTTGGTCCGAGAATGCATGACCGGATCCTTTGAGATGCTAATTGCACTTGTATTGTCACACATAATGGGTGTGCAATTTAATTTAGTTCCATAGTCGCTTAATTGCTGCATTATCCATAATGATTGGGAACAACATGATGCAGCAGCTACGTACTCGGCCTCCGCTGTTGAGAGTGCTATTGAATTTTGTTTCTTAGAACTCCAAGAAACTAGACAAGGACCCAGGAAGTGAGCAGTTCCAGACGTGCTTTTTCTATGTAATAAATCACCTGCAAAATCAGAATCTGAATAGGCAATTAGTTCAAAATTCTCATTACGTGGATACCATAAGCATAAATCAGCCGTTCCTTTGAGATATTTGAGGATCCTTTTCACAGCCTTGAGGTGAGATTCTTTGGGATTAGCCTGGAACCGAGCACATAGACCTACACTGAAAACAATATCAGGTCTACTGGCAGTGAGATACAATAGGGACCCAATCATTCCTCGATACATCTTTTGGTCTATACTCTTTCCTTGTTCATCCGCATCTAGCCTATCATTTGTTCCCATAGGTGTAGTCATGGTTTTGCCTTCACTCATCCCGTACTTCTTTAGGAGTTCCTTGAGATACTTTTGTTGAGATATTTGAGTTCCCTTGCTTGATTGCTTGATTTGTAGGCCAAGGAAGAAATTGAGTTCCCCCATCATACTCATCTCAAATTCGGAACTCATAAGATTAGAGAATTCATCACAAAGAGAATCATTAGTAGCACCAAAAATAATATCATCTACGTAGACTTGAACAACCAATAGGGCTTGATCTTTTATTTTTAGAAAAAGAGTTTTATCTATTTTTCCTCTTTCAAAACCATTTTCCAAAAGAAATTTAGATAAGCGTTCATACCAAGCACGAGGTGCTTGTTTGAGGCCATAAAGTGCTTTATCTAATTTGAAGACATGATTAGGAAGATCTTGATTTTCAAAGCCCGGTGGTTGTTCTACGTATACCTCTTCCTTTAGATATCCATTCAAGAAGGCCGTCTTGACATCCATTTGGTGGAGGGTGAAACCCATATGAGCCGCAAATGCTATGAGCATTCGGATTGCTTCTAGTCTTGCCACCGGTGCAAATGTTTCGTTGAAATCTATTCCTTCTTGTTGGTTATAGCCCTTGACAACAAGTCTTGCCTTGTTCCTTGTGATTTGACCATGTTCGTCAAGTTTGTTCTTAAATACCCATTTGAGACCTATGACGGTTTTGTTCTTGGGCCTTGGTTCTAGAAGCCACACCTGGTTTCTTTCAAACTGATTTAGTTCCTCCTGCATAGCTAGAACCCAGTCAGTGTCGGAGAGAGCCACTTCATGGTTCTCCGGTTCTATAAGTGATAAATAAGCAGAGAAAGCACAAAAGTTCTTAAGTTTAGATCTAGTTGTTACTCCCTGATTTAGATCGGTGAGGAGGTTATCCAGCGGATGCGATCTATGAAGCTTCCAACCCCTAGGAGCGTTGGGTTTGTCCACCAAGTTGTAAAGAGTATCTGAAACTGGTTCTATTGGTTCTATAGGTCCAGTGTCAGTGTTCTGCTCAGGTTCTTCTCCAGTTCCAGATTGTTCATTTTCATTTGTTGGAGGTACTTCATCAGTTTGATAGGTAGTTCCTTCATCTCCTTGAGATTGTGACTTCTTGCGAGTAATCCCTAGCTCACCATCATCGACTTGGATTGTCTTTGAGGCAAGTGCTTCATCAAAGATTACATGAATGCTTTCTTCCACACATTGTGTGCGTTTGTTTAGAACCTTGTAAGCCTTGCTATGAGGAGAATATCCGAGGAAGACTGCCTCGTCACTTCTAGCATCAAATTTGCCAATGTTATCTTTTCCATTGTTGTGGACGAAACATTTGCATCCAAAAGTTCTTAGATGACTAATGTTGGGCTTCCTTCCTTTGAGTAGTTCGTAGGGTGTTTTCCCTAGGAGTGGGCGGATCATGGCTCGATTAATGATGTAACATGCTGTGTTTAGAGCCTCGGCCCAGAAACTCCTAGCTAGACCGCTGGAAATAAGCATAGTTCTAGTCATGTCTTCCAGAGTTCTATTCTTCCGTTCTACCACTCCGTTCTGTTGTGGAGTTCTAGGTGCAGAGAAGTTGTGGTCTATCCCTCGTTCTTTGCAGAAGGCATCGAAGAGAGAATTGTCAAACTCAGTTCCATGATCCGATCGGATTTTGATTAGTTGTAGACCTGTTTGATGCTCAACTTTCCTTACAAAAATAGCAAACTCATTAAAAGTATCTTTCTTGCTAGCAAGAAAGATAGTCCATGTAAATCTTGAAAAGTCATCAACAATAACTAGAACATATTCTTTATTTCCTCGGCTACGGACTGACATTGGACCACACAAATCCATGTGAATCAGTTCTATGGGCTTGCTTGTGCTCACCAAATTCTTTGTTTTAAAGGATGATCGAGATTGTTTTCCGGTGGCACAAGCCGAGCAAACATGGTCAAGTGAAAATTTCATATTGGGCAGTCCAATAACTAAATCATTATTTTTAAGTTTATTTATTAATGAAAAACTAGCGTGTCCAAGTCTTTTATGCCATAGCAAAGGATCGTTATCAATAACGCTCAAACAAGTCATACTAATATTAGGCAAAGAATCAAGATCTACTTTATATGTATTTTCGAGCCTCTTGCCTTCAAGTATAACTTGTTGTGATTCGTTATTAACAATGCGACAAACGTTATGATCAAAAACAACACTATTACCTCGATCGCAAAATTGAGAAATACTTAGTAAATTAAATTTCAAACCCTTGACTAAAAATACATTATCGATAGCATGGCTAGGTGACTTTCCAACTTTTCCCACGGCTATGATCTCTCCTTTGCCGTTGTCTCCAAATGTCACCTTTCCACCGTTAAATGGCCGAAGTGAGAGGAACAAAGATTTGTCTCCCGTCATGTGCTTAGAACAACCACTGTCAAGGAACCAGTGATTGTTCCCCCTCACTCGGCGCTG